GCCCAATTTTAGAGGCACCGCAGACGCTCTTCCCTATAATGCTATGGCAAGCCGTTTCCCTCTACGAAGCGTCCATGACGTGAGAAACGCGACAGAGAACTATAGTGAACATGCTATACACGAGTCTATCAGAAATTGAACTAATTAATTGCGTTTCTTGTAAATTTCTTCATTTTAATGTCGAAACATTAATTAATTATGTGTTAAAATCAAGTGTGTTTAAAATCGAGAAAAGTGACATCGATCAGGCTTTTGGAGCTGTTAGGTATATCAAGACAGCCCTAAAATAATAAAATTTAATTTTGATAATTTACTTTTCACGAACAAAACATCCGTGTTAAAATTCTTCACATCGAAATAAATCTTTCGAAAATTCTTCAAAATCTTCACATCGAAATCTTATAAATCTTCGAAAATTCTCAAATAAATCTTTCGAAAATTCTTCAAATTCTTCACATCGAAATAAATCTTTCGAAAATTCTTCAAAATCGAAATAAATCTTTCATTTGCACTTTTGCAATTTCTCCAATGCCTTATCGTGCACCGGAAAAAATTCTAGAAATCTTGACTATCCTTCTTGAAAATCTTCTTACTCTCAAAGAGCGGCGCAGACTTATCTCGTAATGTATGGATCGTGAATGAAAATTGATAAAACGTCCACGTATAATTCTAGCTGCGGAAGCGCCGACGAGAATCACAGATCGCTTCTCGTACGCGGGATAAGAAAGTGTACCCGTGGCGTTACGTGACTCCCGTACAGATAACAGATAGCTCCATACACGCTCCCGTGAAAATCTTGCAGCGCGCTTCCTCTCGCAGTTTCCGTATTCGGCTTCCCGTAACCACTTTCGCCTAAAGCTCCACTCAGACGCGACGCGGTGTTAATTTTAATGATATGCCTGAGTTTGGCGGCTCGTGAAAGCCGCTCCGAATACGCGTTTATACGCCGGTAATTCGCGAGTCTTCCCGTAGATCATATTTCTATAAGGATGATGCGTAGGAGGCCCGATTCGTACGGAGGATAATCACGTAGCGCGCATCGTACATAAAATTATGAGACAATATAATGTAATATAATACTATATAATAGATGAAGGTTAATCGAGTAAGTTCATGATAATTCTTCAATGAAATATTTTAATAATAATTATTAATAATAATATTAATTATATACATTCATTTCCTGAATCTTTCTACTCTATTTCTGTCAGAAATCGCGATAACGACAAACGTATATAGAACATAGAAATATATCAATTTTCCCTAATTTATAATAACAGTAATATAAAATAATATTGCACATATATAAATTATATTTATATGCTATTTATGTATATATATATATATATATATATATATATATATATATATTTGTGTATTAAAGAATATTATATTGCAATTAAACACAACATAATATTAGTTGTGACATAATATCATTTATATATTTCGTAATGGATTTTATTTTATAGAGTAGAATTACCATAAATTTGATTGCTACTGATCTTTGTTTTACAGTGACAATTTGCACGGTCCATATTACGGCTCAACGATGCGTGTGCTTGCCACATTTCAAACGCGATAACTAGTTATAACCGGCCGACAAACTTTATACAAATATCCGACTTGACGCAATGTATCGCTAATCCATTGACGAGTCATAATTTCATCTAAACTACGGTCACTGCGTAAAGCTTTACTAATATTCTCGATACATTTTAATTATTATTACATCGTGCTGAATTTTGATAAATTATTCGCAAAATTCATGAAAATTTAATGAAATAAATTTAAAGCCTTCAAATATTTTTAAAATATTATAAAATATTAAATATTAAATAAATAAAATATTATAAAATATTAAATAAATTATTAGATTATTAGATTTCATTATTAAATCAGAAGATTAAAATTTTATTATCATTTAAATGTATTTTGTATAAAAAAAGTAAATTTATTTAATTTCCACACTTTTTTTCTTTCATGTATCTAAGATAAATATAAATTTTTATTAAAATATAAATTTACGGCGCGGAAAATTTATTACACTCTTTTTATTACGTAACTACCTATTACGTAAGATAAATCGAAAATATTGTTATTATAAATATAGAAACGCTAAGTGATATTACTTTTCACGGAATAAAAACATAAACTTCATTTCAACTTCATTTATACGTAAATATTTATCCAATGAGGAGTTTTTCACTCAGTTAGTTACATTGCACTTTTAGATACGATGTTTAATCAGCGTTTTCGAGCGACATTGTATGCAAAGAGATGGTCGTCCTCTTGCCAACGACAATCGGAGAATTTCGCGTGCCACGAACGATCGTTGCCTTTGATCGACCATGCGACGTTTTTTTAATCGCGTTAAACGTACCATCGTTGTCCTCAATCATCCAGCTTCCACTTGTCAGTCTTCCCCTCTCCCATTTACCCTCATCTGTCCGCTGTACACTTTCCGTTCATCGAATACATACACACGCGGGTCTAACCTTCTCGAGTCCCTCTTCTCAGCGCACGCGACGTCCGTTGTTTAATTAAAATCAGATCAAAATGACGCGAAGCCCGAGCGACGGCGTTTCAACAGCGACGACTTTCAATTAATTCAATGTCGGTCTCGTCGGACGATACGCCGATACGATGACGATCGACGTCGACGTGATTCGACGTTCCATGAACCAAAGAACTAGTAAAGCTCCCTCTTCGTCTCGTTCGAAAGTCTTGCGGCACGTTATCAGAGTGCGTGTAAAGCAGAGATGAATATTCCTCTCGCGCAATGTAGGTTTCAATCAAATACAGCAAAGTAATAATAACGTGTATAAAATAAAATTGCGCTTTTTTCAATATAACAGAGAATTTTGAGGTATGAAGAAAATTTTTCTAGTTTTTGATATGTATGAATTGACAAACATATCACGCACATATCCTGATAATTTTCAATATACCCCCATTCCTCGACATTTTTTATTTAAAATGGATTTTGCATGTGAAACTTTTAGTTTAATATCATACCGCTTCTGAAATTTACACAATTCATGTTCACTGTGAAATAAAAATGGAAGGAGTGATAATGGTCGTACCGAATTTTCACTATCATTTCCATTATTTTCAACATAATCTCTAGGCAGAATGTTAAATAATTGTATAATAATTATTAATGTGATTTTAGATAAGAAAATAATAATTATAGATATATAACCGGTGACTTCTGAATTTCGATGAAGTCAATAAATCGTTTATGATATCGCAAGTGTGCATATTATATAAGTATGCAAGTATTAAGCTATGTCTATGTTGATTAGATAACTATATTGTTCTTTGCTTTACATAATGCAACTACTCGAGATGAGCACACAAGGAGAGTTTGCCTACGATATTGCAGGAAATTTACATTAACATCTTTTAGTTCCTCATACACACACAATGTATGATCATAACGCATCTCCTAGAACAGTATTAATCGAAGCGCATTCAAACGATATTGTGATTTTATTATCGACTGTGTGCACTCGTTCTTCGACGTGTGTTCGTATTAATAAAATTAAAAAAGAAAGAAAAGCTTCACCTCGTTCGTGTCAATATTAATGAAAAATATTTATCAAAGAATTCGAACGGAAAGGAAAATATAGAAAGTATTCTCTCTATATTTTGAAATTATGTCAATCATCTCGCATCATCTGGAATTGCGACAATTGCTGCAATTTTACGAATATATGCGCAAGAGATAGAATATTACGACCGCGGTTATTCCCACCAGTCATCGCATCACGATTGCCCGAAGCTCGTCCCTCTGATGTCAACGCAGTTCAAGTATGAGAGGCGAAAATAGCTCGCTAGTTAGCTTCGGAGATGAGATCCGGGGAACCGATCGGGTCGCGTAACGTCGCTTAGTATGCGTCTCCGTCTCTCGCCATTACTCGGACGATCTCTTAAATCCCGTACGCAGTTACGGCGGTCGGGCATCTCGAATACGAAATCGACCGGATCGCGTACACCCGGGATATCCGTCGCTCCTTTTTCACGCAGTTCGATAATCAGAAAAATTGGAAGCCGATTTTTCGTAGAGCGAGAACCGAATCCCTAAAACGAACCCCCTCCACGAACTGTTCGGAGCAGCTCTTCGATCCGCGACGAAATATTTCGCGGATCAAACTTGGAGAATTCATCAATGGACACGTTCCTCTCGACTGGAATAACGACCAAAGTTTGGAAAGTCGAAGACTCGATATTGGGTTAGGAGGGATCGGTAGAATTTAGAAGATAAAAGACAGCTTTGTGAACGCATACATACAATGACTATAGATAGCTTCATTTTGTTTCGCGTCAAAATTGGGGGTCGCGATCTTTTATATCTCGAATTAATTTCCAAGAAAATAATATTTTATCAAAATAGAAAAATTTTACGTCCTTGTGAACGCATACATACAATGACTATAGATAGCTTCATTTTGTTTCGCGTCAAAATTGGGGGGGGCGCGATCTTTTATATCTCGAATTAATTTCAAAGAAAATAATATTTTATCAAAATAGCAAAAATTTTACGTGCATAACGAAAAGTATGACGATTCTGTCTAAAATTAAAGGAATACGTTTATATATATTTTCATTTTAATGGCAAATCTTTTTTCGATAATCTGTTATATGTATCTTTCGTCAATGTTTATTATTATATTAATGTTATCCACAATACAAATCGTAAGATCTTAGCTTCTTTCACCGCGGATAAGAAACGATCTTTCGAATTAGACGTGGAAATCTCAAATCCTAATATTAAAATACCTTATTTACATTTCGAACTTGGTGGAAACGGCGTGTCAGAACCCGAGGCTATTTATCAATCATACCGCTGTTCCCTTCCAGCCATCCCACCCGTTGGATTCCAACTGAGAAAATAAACGCGCGCGCGCATACACATACATACCCACACGAATCGTAACCCGAAAGATTTATGAATGTCCTTTCGATCGAAGCACTCATTCAGAAGAGAAAACACTCACCCTTGCTGGATATCGCTGCCGCGCCGACAAATTGTATGGCCAGGACAGCGCCAACCAGAAGGAACTTGCCAGAACCACCGCTTTTCGCCGCAACCGATCCACTTTCGACACTAAATGATTCCTTTGACACCCGACGACCGCCGGCCCTCGTCCCCGTCCGAGGGTTGCACCTTCGCGACCCTCGGCCGTCGTCGGAAACCCCGCAATCCGATCGAAGCATCGACGTCGTTCTCATCACAGCCATAATTGCGACTGCTTTTAAAATCCTTCCTTCCGATTAGGATGTTCCGAGGAGACAATGTCACTGCACAATGTCACTCCGAATCACTCGGAAATCAACAATGCGACGAAGAAATCCGGCACACGACACTTCGGAGCAATCGGCTGAATCGTCATAGACACGATCATCGGCACAGTTACACGGATCGGATGAATCGCATATACACCTGCGGCTCACACTGAAAGGATGCGCGACACCTCCGATTCATAGACTGCGCCCGACACAATAGACAGTACAGAGAATAGACGGGCAAGTCTTCCAAACCGATTCCGACGGTCAGGGATGACAGGTCGTACGCCGTCAAAACGGAACGGTTCAAATTCAACTTTTACACTCGAAAATCCCCGCGTATACCTGGCGCGCTTTCGCAAGCCCACCTGGAACTAATCGCGCCGGGCGTCTCCGGAGGGTAGGTCCTCCCCCATAACGACAGGTCTCGCCTTGACGCGCGGTCGAACAGGGTGCGACGTGCAGAAAGGCAAAGATAAAGTGAGAAAAAGAAAAAACCCGGAAAAAAACCCGTCTTTCCTCGCGGATCTCACTGATCCCGAAAAAACGCTTCCAGTTTCGGGACTTCGGCGAACGCGACTGCACGCGTCGCTGTTTTCCTGCGCGATGGAGAGGCACGGCAGGAAAGGGGGGAAGGATCAGCGTTAGAGGGGGAGGGAAAAGTCACTCACGCGCGTGGGCGGATCCCACCGTGAATTCTCGAGAAGGTTGATAAGGACTGCGCGACGGTGGCTGGAACGACGGTTGAAAAACGGTTAAACGAGAGAGGAGTGACAATTTCCCAAGCAAGATAAATAGGGAGAAAAAGCGAGAGAAAGAAAGAGAGTTTGAGAATGTATACTGAATTTTGGAAATACGACCGAAGCGTGTCGAATCCCCCAACGCAACGTGCTGCCGCGTCGAGACGCCCGGCGCTACTGAGGTGAAGGAGAAAGCCCGTTCGGGGGTTGCTGCCGTTATGCGAGGTCGGGTGGTAGATGGGAGGTGGGGGAAGAACCAGCGTAGAGGGGTGATGGTAGCGCGGCGCGCCTCGTCGGATATTCTCGTCTCTCTCCGGGATTCTGCTCTCTCTTTCTCTATTTTCTTCTCTTTCTCTTTTCCTCTCTTTCTCTTTTTCACACTCCTCTGCCCGTTTTTCCGCGCTTTCCTCTTTGTTATATATATGAATATGTATACTCGTATGTGGATATGTATGTATGTATGCACACACACACACACACACACACACACACACACACACACACACATATATATATATATATATATATATATATTTTTTTTTTTTTTAATTTTTTTCTCAAGTTTAATCTTATTTTATTCCACGTAAAATTATTTACACTATTCGTGATTTGCTTCGGTTCTTGTGTCCTTCGTTATTTATTTGTTGCTCGCTATTTTCTTCCCTCTGTTATGTGCCTGTTATCGTTCGTATTGTTCTCTGCTTATTGCTCCTAAGGAATTTGATTCCGGGATAGTTAGCGAACTTTTTGCTTCTCTATTTTATTCCCGCTTACGAATCGAAGCACGATACAAAAAACAACGCGTTGCACCTGTTTAGAAAAAAATTTTCCTATCGTGTAACGTATAACACGCTTTGGAAACTAACAATTTGATTAGTAGCGGATTAACGAATCGAGCGATGGAAACGCTTTGAATTTGGGAACAAAGCTACATAAAATTCGCCAGAATGCGTGGCATTTGCGCGCATATAAGCCCCTTGGTTTTTTACTGGTTATTATTTATGCATGGAATTCTTGGATAAAAACCAGCTTACATAAACAAAATTAATACGCGACAATGTTAGTCGCATTATCAAGCTAATTACCGAGTAATTCATTGGTCACGATTATCACATCGGCCTTTTATCGTGATTGACAATCCTTTTTTTTCCCTTTCGCTATACGCGATGTATCGTGTAACAATGTCGATTATTAATGATATTTTTAATATGATATTTTTAATTAATGATATTTGAATTAATAAATTCAATAGAAATGTTAATTAAATATATGACAGATACAAAAAACGAGAAATGAGACGACGCGTGATTCATGACAGATTCGATAATTGTTGATGGTCGTTCGAGAGAGCGCGACGCCCACGCACTTGCGTAATTTTTACTGATATCCGTGATAACGATATCAATCGACGAAAACGCGACGAGGAAGTGATCAGAGCGCGATCGAAATCCGATTATCGGCATCCGATCAATCGACAATCACGTCTGGCTACGAACGTTCACGCCATGTATACACTACACATGTTGACATGAGTCGGACGGATAGTAGATAGATCACTAATTTCGCTTCGTGATTCGCGTCTCGAGTTCGAGCATGAATAAACAACGTTCGTATGCGCGATTATGAGTTAAACGTCTCGTAATAAGCTAAATTAATCGCAAGTGTAAAATGTGACGTATATTTTAAGTAAACTGAACAAACTATTTATTCTTAGAACATATTTATATTTCATATTTTTCGTATATCAATAATTTATAAAAAAAAATTTGAAACATTGATTATATCAATCCGATATTATATATATATCTAATATGTATGATATATTTTTTTCTATACATGAAATAAAAATATATATCAAATAAAAAAATTCCTAAAAATTTGATACGAATTTATTTTTTAATTATGTAAATATTTAGAGTTACTGAATGTTTGTCACTTATTAATGAATATTTTTATCAATAACAGTGACAAAGTGAGAGGACTATATTTGATTGTCAAGCTTCAATTTTTTTTTGTTTTTTAGTATTTTACATTTTTAGACAGTAGGAGAAAGATTATTGACGAATCAAGAAAGTAAAGATTAATTAACATACAGCAAATATATTTGTCGGTTCTGAATATTACCAAGTAAACAAGACGAGTTCTCTAACGATTCTCCCTGGAGAAGAAAACATTGAAAATGATTCCCATGTCGTTTGTTACCGTTTCAAATATTAAAGCGTCCAATTAGTCCAATGTTAACGCAAACTTGCGAAACCGCCGTCTACTCGGCCAGTGCATTAAGCTTTGTCCGCGTGTTACAAGCATTGTGGTCGCAAGCGCAGAACTGAAAGAACAGAACGAACGGTGACAGCGCATATACATTCTGTATCAGAAATTTCATTCTAATTTCCATAAATTAAACGAAGGAAATTTAAAGCTTGAAGAAAATAATGATTTCATTGTTGAATTAATAATAATTTTTTTAGTTCTAAAACATAATCTTTTATATTCTGTAATTAAAATTTTAGGATTTTACAGGGCTTCTTCTTTGATTTTTCAGAACTTTTCTTCTATTTAAAAGTTTTATTCAAATATTTTTAAAAATTTCAACATATCTAGTGAAGTAAAAAGAAATATTATTATGTGGAATATTTAAGAGGCCAAGGTTCGATAATAAAGAAATACCGTGAGACTTTTGAGATACTTTATATTCCGGGATATACGTAGGACGACATCCGATCTCACGGAAAATCAAAACTCGGGGACGTGTATGCTTTACCAGAGGTTAATGCGCGTTGTCTGTTTCCACCATGCCGCGGGAAACGTTAATTCACGCCGTCGTACCTGTCCTAGAGATGCCCTGCCGCGGCAGTCTCCGCGGAGCATAGAAAAGAGGAATGAAATACATTATATGAGAGAAACTACGGCCGTAGATTGGAACGGACGACGAATATCGTGGGCGGAAAAGCTTGCAGCTGTACACAAACACGCGCATGCACACAGCTTTCATCCAATTGCATCGAAAAATATAACATTCTCCACTTTGTAACGAATTTTTTTTAATGTATTACGGCAAAACGTTCTTTCGGAGACAGATTAATAGGCGTCGGACAGATTAATAGGTGTTGGACAGATTAATAGGTGTTGGACGATATTTAGTACTTGTATATATAAAATACCTATGAAATGATATTTTCGTAAATATTTTGTCCGTTTCTACTCGAACATCTTTATTCATTATGTCTTACTATTCGTCTGTCTTCACTGTCCATACTTGAGCTTGTCGCGAGAGAAAAAAAATTTAATTGAGGCATCAATTTTATCTCAGAGAATTTATGGTTAAATGAAATAACGAGAAATCTTGAGCATCTTGTATAATACATTACATCGCAAGAAAGTTCGGTGTTAAGTGCTTCCCTTGAATCTTGAATGTAATAAAATATCAACGGTTTCGAAAGTCAAGAAAATGGAGCGTAACGGTGATAAACTTTCCTTCTATTTTTTTTAACAATGATGAGCACATGACAAAAAAACGCAGGTATTTCTTCTTTTTCGCGAAAGTGAAAAAGTGAAAGAAAATGCGCGCGTGAGATTTTTATACAACGCGTAAACTCGATACGCAATGTGCATCACGACGTGCTGGAAGTTCAAGAGTTACACGTCGTTGCACTCCGATTCGCATAGACATAATCAACTGTCGAGGCGAGAAAAACGTGCAATATAACTTTGCGGAGGGGGCGACGATCGATTCTGAATAACTTAAGGATCTTGCAGGAATCCTTTATAAGGGAAGAAAGGAGAGAACGCGCGCTGTTGAAGTTTTGTCTGCAACTTCAAAAGACTTCGCACCAACGCCAATCGAGCGCAAAGTGAACTTCATGAACGCTACTTTCTCGCGCTTATCGTTGCGAGAATCACTTCTCTCCTTTTACTCGAATATAATGGAATTTTCGCGGGAAAATAATTCAAAATTTTCAGCGGAAACGAAACGTTCCCAACGTTTTAATCAAGATTTTTGATTCAAAATACGTTTAAATCGCGAATTTGGATTATACAACGCTATTAAGCTTTTCATAATATATTCACATGTCTAACATTAATTATAAAATCGCGCATTTAATTGTCTACGTCCGGTTTTATCGTTAATTTAATTTAATCGTTTAATACGATCACGTGCACGCGTGCACCCATTTGGCCAATGTGGCGTGTAAATCGCTGAAAATTTGTAAATACCACATTCAATTACGCGCATCAATTATTTTCTAATCAAATGGTCATGTAAATAATATACATACAAATAATAACGCGTAAGATTTTAATGCGAATTAAAACGCGTCAGTAATAACCGGTCGGGAATAACTGATCGTTAATATCATTTGTATAGAGACATCCATTAGCAATGCCGCTAATGAAAAGCTAATTAGTAACTATTTCCGCGCGCGATCTATGATGCAGCGAAGAAACGAAGTAGTCAATTTTTATATCTACTCTACATTTAATTTAGGCACGCGCTTTTTAACAAGTTTCGTCAATTCGCTAATAGGCAATTACGTGTCATTCTGTGAAATACGGGAATGGAAAACTTCGAATTTACTCAATATATTCCACAAAGCAAGAATTTTTCATATAAATAATATAATTATGCCAAAGCGTTATATTAAATGTTGATAATTGCAAAAAAAGAGAGAGAGAAAGAAAGAGAGAATACATTACCATGCCGATTATCAATTTACGACATTATATAAAGAATAATGCGTTCTATTAAGCACAAATTTTATGAATAAACGATGAGGAAGCGGCAAGGGAAAAAGATGCGTCTTCCGCCATATATTTCGCAAAGATTGGCAATTTATATAAATCCAATAGATCACTCAAAAAATAACGGATTTCTACCGTGATCCAAACGCAAATTTATAGTGACTCTTCAGAAGTGTATGGCTTCCGTTCTTCAAAAGCGCATATTGCTATGCATCTCACGGAAAGTGACGACGAGAGCATTTTCGAGTCTTTTTCTATGTCGACTTTATATCTTGAAATCGGCTTCAACAAATACGAAAAAGTTCGCACGACATATACATTTCGCGATTAATTTATCAATGAAATAAAATAATGCATTTTTAAATTTTAAGTCTGTAAAAATGATAGCAAATATCATTAATCTTCATCATTAAATTAAGCAAATCTGTAATGATTTTACATTTCTTTCGAATAGAATCAATCTTTTCGAAATAAAAAAGTATCAACATATGACAAATTTCTTAAAATCTACAAAAATGAAAATTTTATTAATATTATGAATTTAACTCATTAAAATAAAAGGTAAATATAATCTGATAATTTTTTAGGATTTTTACACTTTTGTGTTAAGAATAAACATTTTAATATTATAAAAAGCTTTTTAAAAATAAATAAGAGAACATACAGCACTAAATACGCGCTGA